ATATACAGGGTGTTCCGGAAAGATTGTTAGAGCCGAAAATGGCAGATGGGGAGGAGCATTGTGAACAACAATTTCCTTTGGTAAAATACGAAATGGGGCTTGGTTACCGAGTTATTAACAAAAAACACGGACCAATCAGAGCGCTCGGTTGAGGCGGTCTCCGTTTCGGGAGCGCTGGCTCGGAGACAGCCGGGCGACTTTTCTCGCGTTTGAACAAGCGCTCCGCTCGGAACGAAGCGTTTTAAGAAAATGACGAATAACAAACTACATTAATAACAATGCAAGGAAATTGTTGTTCGTTTGTTATTATGAATAACAATTAATACACTTAATCGTTATTCACGTGGAATGGATGAGATAGATTGTTGATAATTGATGAATGATGATAGGATAAATGAGGAATTAACAAGTCGCAGGGAATATTGAATTAAAAAGGAAATGTAAAAACTGTAGAGATTTAGACTTACCCATTCATTCGCAAGTGCACCTGCTAACGATGGGCCACGGTCAATGGGTCAGCGTCTTTGCCGCTCGCAGGTAGGCCACAGCTGATCTTCTGTTCAGGGAAGGAACCCCGCAATCCACCGCACGATCATTGTCACTCTTAAAAATTTTAACACACTAAGATTGTTGCTCCTACGTTCTATCAATACACGTCTTTGAAAGCAGCCGATTGATTTTTATACACAAACTCAACTTCATTACACCGCTGTCACTCTTCACTTAAAAATTTTCAAACACTTACACTGTCGTTCTTGCACTTTAACATTAAACGTCTCCGAAAGGAGCCGATTGTTTTTCACTCACAAAATAAACTTCACTATCCGCGTGGTCCGTGAACTACACGATGCACGAAGGGCGCGACACGATCGGGATGACGCTCTTTTTATCGGAATCGGCGCATAACCATCTTCGCGTTAGGCGATTACTCGGATTATTTCGTAATACTCCGTCATTGAGTTGAGGTGCACGACTCGATACCTACTGAACCGTCTCTCACAACTTTCCTTCGGGAGAATTTTCCCCACTCGATGGCCAAATTCGTTAGTGAAAATGTTTTTAGCATTAGCGTAAATAAACTGGTGCAGTACGTATGTACCTCCATCAAATTCTTTTTGGTTCCTAGGGGCTACGTGTACCACACTTTGGGAACCGTTGATATACAGGGTGTCCCACGTAACACTTTTCACGATTTTTCAAGTACTTGGGATAATCTGACAAAAAAGTATTTTCAACAAAAGTTGATCAGTTTTCAATTGGCTATATATTGCAAGAAAAAAGTTGGAAAGAAAAATTGTTTTCTATTGTCAAGTTCACCTTAATTTTTTTAAATGACACTTTGTATTTTTGACTTAACAGTGTTATAGCCCGTATCAAGACGAATTCAACGATCTAGATACCATGACCTTTGGATGGCCTTGAAGGCAAAGAAATGAAAATTTTGACAAAGAATGATAGTCTGCTTGAATGGGTGATAATAACGTGTATTTATTATTAAGACTTGTAACCGTATAAATTTACCGCGTGTACCGGTTACATATACCTTCACGGGTAACCGTCGGGAGAACCTTCGAGAAGGCCTGCCGATCCTACGCACGCGCGGATCCTGTAGGATTACATAATCGAAGGATCGACGATCGATTCCGTAACCGACGGATCACTTCCAATCCGGATACCATAGGAATTACTTCGAGTATGAATACCGAATAGATAACTTCTTAGTCTGAATATCGTAAAGAGAACTTCTAGTCAGAATACCGAAAGGATAACTTCGTCTTCTAGTTTGAGTATCATAAAGAGCACTTCGAGTCTGAATACTGTAAAGAGTTTTCCTAGTCGAATATAAAGATTGTATAGTTGTGTGTGAGTGACCACAGCGAGAACAGTATTAATTGTTACACGAGGTCCAGAAGCTAGCGTGGGAAAGGGATCTCGATATTGGTACGCCAACGATCCGTGAGTCATACTTCCTTGATAATAACAATTGTAATCGCGAGGGTCGATCCATCGATTATATTCTTATTAAATAAGCCATCAGTCTGGCATAGATTAAGTGCGCTGTTTCTTCTGTGTTAAATTCCGCCGTGCTATTCTAATTTAACTCTTATTCCGGTAAAGGCACGTGGTACAATTGTAAGACTGATCAACCTAGGTCTCGTTCTTTGTTAAATATATAGTGATATCCGTCATTCAATTTATACCATCGAATAAATTTCTGATTTCCCTGTCAATTCCAAGTCCTCCTCCCAAGGAGACACGAACTCCTCCCTCGACGAATACTCACTCGCAGAGTATTCGGTTATAAACTCTTAATTACATTCACGTACTAACTGAATTTCTTTGCCTTCAAGGTCATCGGAATATAATATTATTATCGGCAATCAGGCTAGAATACTGTTAAGTCAAAAATACGAAGATCCATTTAAAGAAATGAAGGTGACTTTGACAATAGTAAAAAATTTTCTTTCCAACTGTTTTTCTTGCAATGTATAGCCAATCAAAAACTGATCAATTTCTGTTGAAAATTTTTTTTTGCCAGATTATCGCAAATATTTGAAAAATCGTGAAAAATGTTGCGTGGGACACCCTATATACATAGACAATTAGTATACTGTAAACGCATTACCGTTAAATGTACTACTCTTTTCAAGATTGAAATAAACGATTAATACTACTACAAATAATAAAAGAGGAATGATAGGCAGTTCATCGATTCCATTACTGATAATGGCCATGACTAATGATCTGAAACATTTGAAAGGCAGCACTCTTATCTGCAAGTGTATCAACTGTCATTATCGTCATTATCGCGATCGTTGACATTAGTTGGATTATCTAGAATCCTCGACATTAACGGGACCTACATAATAACGGTGATCGACGATTGCGATAAGTGACTACCTAAATCAATAACACAGAGCAATGACGTTAATAATTCTGTTATTATCCCATGTCACTGTGACGGGAATCGATATCCCGATCTGCATAATTAATTAGGCTTGTCACGCTAGTTTTACTCTCTTAAAGAGTAGCATTTCATCCGCGTTGTTTAACGCCAATTTTCCTGACGACATAATATGATGACATAATAATCGAGACACATGTAAAAATTGTACATCTAATCATTCAGAGCATCTTTATTCCATATGCCGCTATTAACGAGACAGATTAAGAAGGATGGCAATGTTATCCAAGTGTAGAATGCAATAAAGAAGACGACGAACATCAAGAAGGTTCTTCGAGGCGAACGTGAACGAGCATTTACGAGGATGGCCCATTATCAGGGCTAATATCTAGGATGCTCGACAACCTCCTAACGACCCCGAGCCAATCCCTCCCCCCTCTCTCTCTCTCATCATTTTTTTCTACCTCACGTTTTCTCCGCCAATTCATTTTACCTTCGTTCTCGTTTCGTTCCTCTTTCCTTGAAATCTGCTTACGGAACTATTTAACATGACAGTCTTGAAAAATATAACGAATTCATTTCCACAAAATCTCGTTGCAATATATTCTGTGGCTGCTCCTTGAGCAGATTCGCGCTCGGATGCAATTAAAAAACTAGATTTGAATTTACGTAAAACACTTTTAATTATTATTCCTTTAAAGAGGATTGATGAACAAACGTCTCGCTCTCTTCGTGTCTCGTCGCACAAAGACCGTTTCTAATTACAATTACTCTCGTGTTTTCTTTTTCGCGAGCGTCTTTTCTCATCGCAACGCACGCCTGCAGGACGCTCGCTCTCGATTCTCGCTCTCGCGCGCGTTCCGCGACCCTACCTGTCCTCTCGCATAGAGGTGCCCCGCACCGCTCCCGCATTCGCTCGGGCTTTTGCCCGCGACGTAAGAAAAACCTCTTCGAGGGAAAAACTTACGCCAGGAGCAATGCGTTTACATACTGAAACGTACTCTAAGATTCGCTCGCGACTCGTTATCGACCAGTTTCCTTCAACCACTAATCTTCCCAATCGTGCGTCCGTTCAACCCTTAATTTTCCCGATCGTGCGTTCGTACAACCCAGACGCTGAGCAATGGCACCGTGCTTCATCACGGCAGCCAATCTGGACGACACGTTTCCCTGAACCAACACCTCACTCATAGCCGTACGCGTCC